GACCAGGGAGGATAATTCAACCACTCAACCACTAGATGTCGCTGAAAACAACAAATCCTACACACTGTGCCTTCAAGCAAAGATGTTGCACAATGAGCAGCAATTAGAGTATGTTTTGTGGATGACTCCTAGTCAGTGTTGTATAAAGTACCACAAAGTGATACTTGAGTAAAAGTACAAGTATCTTACCATAAAATTACTTTGGTAAAAGTTAAAGTCTCCTCTAAGAATACTACTTGAGTAAAAGTCTTAAAGTATCTGATAATTTTTCTACTTACCGGTAAGTATCAAAAGTAAATTTCTGACATAAAATGTAATTAAGTATTAAAGTAAAAGTATTGAGTAAAAATGAGTGGTTGGATTTTTCAAAATGATATTTATTGGGAGGTGGCCTCCCCAAAAAACATTTTTCTAAATGATTATTAAAATATTAATATAAAAAAATTAGGATGCACTAATGTAGCTGTTTCTGGTATATACTGTATGTATTTATATGTATATACCACATACATCTTCAGGCTACATAAGTCTGATATGTCCTGCTGGAGTGCGACATGATATGTGTTGTGCAGCTGCAATGGATTGTGTACAAACATACGGTGTCAAGATGTTATATCTATATTTATATGTTTCATTAAAACACAATTACATTCACTCTATCCAGTAGGCACAGTTTATCTTTACAGTAGTCCTTTTAATAACAGGCCAAATGAAAACCAGCAAAAATGAACTAAAAGACTTTAAAAAAGACTTTACTTCTTGCCCTTTTAAAAAAATGTAAGGAGTAGAAAGTACACATAACTGTGAAAAAGTAAGGAGTAGAAGTAAAAAGTTGGCTGAAAAATAATTACTCAAAGTACAGATAGCCAATATTTGTACTTAAGTTACTTTACAACTTTGCTCCTAGCACACCCAGGTTTAGCCCAAAATTTATAAAACCGTTAAAATTACAGCAACGTTTGTGTTTTCTAAGTCTGTCGGCCTTGGCTGTCATCTTTAATTAGTGTTGGCTCAAAGATGTAATCAGTTAGCTGAACATCCAGTGACTGTTTTCTGAACGTTTTATTAAAATCTGCCCAGTGGTTGGAGAAATTTTGCTAACAGTCGAAGTTACTTTCAAACTGCTATTGCACCACCTTTATGATTTATGAAAACAATATTTAATTGGATTTCTAAAGTAAAATAAACATCCACACTTGGGGGAAAAAACTACATCAAAAAGGATGTGGAGGAAAGAGGACAAACTACCATATGTGACGTTTTTTATTCATGGTTTTTATTTTTACCTCCAACACAAGGATTCATCTCCAACTGTTTTTTTTTCTAAAATAAGCAGCAGATTTTTTTCCTCTCAGATGCAGACTTTGTGTCTGCGTGTTGGAGAGCAAACCTGTCAGGAGGAAGAGACAGTCGGTCCCAGGAGACAAGCTACAAGCATCACACTTTTCTAGGCCAACTCAGCCTTCCAGTGACAACTCAAGAGCTGTCGTTCTGTCTTCCTCTGAGAGAAACTAGTTCCACTGAAATACAGAAACACAGGCCTCTACAGGCACCAGGTTTGAGTTTATTTTTTAATTTAATAACAACATCACTAAACAATGCCCTGTATGAACATCGCCCTCCACCTTTCATGCCAGAGTTTTAGAGCAGTTTCGGTAAAATCTTTAAAAATATATATAAAATGTCAAACAATGAACCCGATCATAAGGTTGATTAAATCATTCTATTCAATAATAACTCAAAAATCTATTGTTTAATTAAGTGTTTGCTATTGATTTTACATATCAGTCTAAAGTTTTTATATTTTTCACATTGAAACCTGCCATTAGATCAGTAAATACGTAGCCTCAGGCGTCAGAAAACAAGTGAGAAATCATCTGTGTTGTTGTGGTGCTATTGATTCGATGCTTCATATCAAGCTTCTTTATGTAACTGCCTGAGCTTTGAGCAGCTCGAGACATGTTTGTAGAGCTGCTGTTATTGAGTTGTTCCACCTAAAGGTAGGAGTGTTCAGTTCAGTCGGGGGTCGGCACATCTTACAATCAAGAAAAATAAAAAAACATCCTTATTTCACTGAACAAAGCTGAATAAAGGAAAAACATTTCATTTTATGAGCATTGTGTAAATACTATAATTATAAAATTTTATTTGCAATATTAAGAAATTAAAGGTCTATTATAAATTGTTGACATTTATTGATGCTTATGCGTGTAAGGACGAGGGAAAGTACAGAATAGCGTATTTACTAAAGAAAAAAAAGGACTTCTGATCTCGTAATTTCGAGAAAAGATTTAATAATTACAAAATTCTGATCAATAATTATGAGAAAAGTTAAGGATAGTCATCACATTTTTCCTCTTTGAGTCATTGGGAAATTCTGAGTTTACTTAAACCATTTAATCCCAAATTTTTCTGTGCAAAATAAATGCATGTATTTCATTTGTTACAGTGGGGAAAATAAGTATTTAGTCAGTCACCAATTGTGCAAGTTCTCCCACTTAAAAAGATGAGAGAGGCCTGTAATTGACATCATAGGTAGACCTCAACTATGAGAAGACAAAATGTGACAAAAATTTGAGAAAATCATTTTGTCTGACTTTTAAAGAATTTTTTTGAAAATAATGGTGGAAAATAAGTATTTAGTCAGTCACCAATTGTGCAAGTTCTCCCACTTAAAAAGATGAGAGAGGCCTGTAATTGACATCATAGGTAGATGTTCGGTTTTTTAACCTGGGAACTCAGAGAAACCACAACAAGCCCGGCCGAAACATTAATCAATTGACACCAGAGA